AATAATTAGTAGTGCAACCCTTCTTTTAAAAGTAGCCAAAAAACATCAGTCCAGATATATTAATTGTGCATGACATGTTTCATTAAGTGGATTCATTTACTGAAATGAAGTACCTTTCTAATAATCTAATTTAGTGAGATGCACATGTTGGATAGAATTTAGAGATCCCCAAGATATATATATAATGTGATGCAACAAGTTTTGGGAGGGCCAAAGTGAGTAACTGAAGCAACTTTTCAAACAAACGATGCCCCCTTGTGTTTGGGAATATATATTTAGAGGGGAAGTAAATTCGAATTTGATCAAAGCAGACAAATCCTGCAGCTATTACATAGAAGAACCATTCTTCTATTTCTTCTATGATGCAGCTGAACTGAATATGGTTGTAGAAAGCTGCTAGTGGCTTTTTCTTTCAGTTTTTTTATAACGTGTTATTTTTATTTATGTGTAGGGTACATATCCAATGACAAGAATCTTGCTGAGAGTGAAAGACAAAAGAGCAGCTCATCAGGTGAGTGACCTCACATACACCTTAAAAGTCCCATGATGAAAGAAATCAACCAATAAATTGACAGCGCTCTTTTTTTTCTTTTAATGAACAAGATTTAACTCTATCTTTCTTTTTATTTCTAATTTCTTCTTCTAGATTGGCTGGTTGTTATTGTTGTTATCCTAGCAGTTGCTGCAGTTCTTCTGGTGTGTGCAGCCGTGGCCAGAAGAAAAGGGTAAGAGTTTGATTGACCTGATGCTTAGAGAGCTGCAGCTTACAGCTTCAGACAGCAGTTTAAATAATCTGATAGGCTTTTGTTGAACTAAAAAAACAACCTCCATCTTAAGTTTTCTCAAGAGAAAATTTGATTTTACATGTTTTCTGTAAATGTATTAACACCGGATTTAGATAGTAATATTATGAATATAAAATATAACCCTTCTTACATTTGGTGATGTGTCTCTAAATAAGTTCCACCCTTGCCAACATGCTTTATTGTCGAAATGAGCAAGCTTTTGGCTGATATTTAACTGGATATTTGATCCCTCTGCTTATCTTATCAGAAAGGTTGATTTATTTAATCTTTAGCTGATTTTCTTTCCAGAACCTTAAAAACTGGCCATATCAAGCTAACCTGCATCATCTATTTACATTCCAGCACCCGTTGGGATGCTGGTAAACCTTGGTGATAACAGGTGTTTCTTTTTTCCTCTTGTGTCCTGTAGCTGGTGTGGCAGAAGACAAACACTGAATATAATCACCAAAGACAGCGGTGATGGTAATGGGGTCGCAGTTGTGCCATCCAGCTCCAACAATCCTGAGAGAGAACAGGAGATGGTGACCCTTATGAACAAGGAGAATATCCAGGAGAACGGCACAACAGAGGAGTTCACTGTCATCACCTATAGAGGAGTCTCCACATAAAGACCAGCAGGCCTGAAGGTTGATCAGGAAAGAGCTGATGATCGGGGAAGACTATTGAGAAGGTGGAAAAGCTGGAGTTGGTGCTCAAAAGTTGTTTGTTGTTTGCTGTCAGTGATTAAGAGCATTAAATGTGTCCTTTTGAGCTATTGTTCAACTAAAGTACGCAACAAAGTCTGTATGAAAGCTTTTCAATGGAGCAAAGCATTTCAAATCCAAGTGTGCATAAATTAGAGATTTGAACAAGGTTGGCAAATTTGTTTAATTACTTTTAATGCTCCATTTATTTTTGTTATGGGGCTGGGCAGTGGTTTGGAATGGATGAGATGTTGTGTTTAAAAAGTCCAAAATTCAAGCAGTTTACTTTAACTGGGAAATAATAAATAGATAATCATATAATTTTTGTTGCATTTTAGTTAAGAGGGGAAAAAGCTTCCCTATTTTGTTTATATACTTCTATCATTTTTGTTTGTTTCTAAGCTTTAATTATTTTTTTTTGTTTCTGTGCATACTGAGAACATCCCCTGTTGACTGCTTTTGCTTTTTCTTTTCAGAAAACAAGGGATGTAACAATAACAATCTGTTCCAATTTAATTAAGTTTTATGTACATAAATTAAAACCTTTCAAATGTTACAATAACCTTGAGTGCTTTTTTGCTACGTTGTAGGAAAGGGCTTTGTCATATTTAGCAAGAAGAACTGCTTCCATTTTTAGCACTATTTAACCAGAATCTGCACCTTAGAGGTAAATATTTTAGTTTTTCAAAGGTTGAAATAGATAGCATTCTGAATTAGCATGATTAATGGTGTTTTATATACAGCTAAAGATGCTTAATCTAGAAATAATGTGATGCTTCAATTATGGGGATTAAAATGTGTTATGTTGATTGTGCACAATAGATCAAGACTTTGAGGCAAAACAACGAAATGGGTGTCATTTTAAGCATGTTTATTAATTTTGAAATCAAACTCAAGCTTTTTTTTTTTCTTCATGAGTGATTGATGCTAATCTGTAAATATCGGACTGCAGGCCACATCAGCCAACACCAAGAAACAAATCCACAGCGGACATTTACAGGAGCAATGCAAATGGCTTCTTTATGAGATAAAGACTATCACAAATGTTTGTATGCTCTGCAATACCACTTAATGTGATAAAGGAAGCTGCTGTGTTTCATTAATGTTTCTATATAAAGCTTTCGGTCTTATTGAGAAACTTTTTCTATTGAACCTTCCATAATGTGGATATATACCCAACATTGTGTCCTGATCTACCTTTTTCTCCATAGCCAATATGTTTAGTTTTCAGAATCAGGCCAAATTATATATGGTCATTGTAAAATACATTTTTCTGGCTTGTTTCTTAATTTACACTTGTTCTGATTTGAAGAAGAGGGGTTGCACTAGAAAAGAGGGATTTGACAAAAAAGATGTTGCTGGAAAGATTTGTAAAGTCAAAATAAATGTGTACAGACATTGATGCACTGGAACATGGTGTTTGCTGACTGATCACTCTTTGTGTACGGGGGGTGAGAAAAAGAACTAATGACATGACAGGAAACACTTGTTGTATTGCTCCCACATAAAACAAAACTAAGGTTTCCATGGCACCGGAGTCGGGATCCAAGAAAACGTCAGCACGAGAGAAAAAGTAACACCAAAGCCGCCATTTTCTGAAAGATAAAGATGGTTTCTTTCCAGCGGGAACGTGCATGCATAGATATCAGAGGGGTGTACAAACTTTCTGCATGCATTGAGGGGGCACAAAGCAATTTACCATAATATGTGGTTACTATTGTACAGTTGTTTATTTATGTTTATATTTATTTTGACTTTTATGCGAGATTTCTCCCAGTGCACCAAATACATTTATACAAAAGGTTTACCTGCAGTTCAAAACATGTTCCTGGCTTGAATGCATATGGCTATCACAAGTAACATTATGTTTGTTTTTTGACGGACAGAATACCTGCTTAGAAAGAGGTATTAACTTCCTTAGATACTACAGTATATTCAATTCAGTTTCAATTCAGTTTATTTATATAGCACCAATTCACAACATGTCATCTCAAGGCACTTTACAGTTCATCAGATCATACTGTCAAATTGATTCAAGGTTTCCTATCTAAGGAAAACCAGTTGATTGTATTGACTCATTGACTCAAAGGTATAAACA